GCTCCTCCAGCCCTTTGTATTTTTTATTTTGAGACAGGGTCTGGCTAAGTTGCTGAGGCTGGCCTCCAACTTGTGATCCTCCTGCCTCAGTCTCCCATGTTGCTGGGATTACCGGTATGTGACATCATACCCAGCACAGCTGTACTCATTTAATAACATCTGTCAGTGTGATAATCCTGAAATGAGGGAAAAGCAGGTTCCACAGGAGCCTACACAGGACCTCCTACCTATAAACCTCAATTGCCTCCATGGAACAAGGTAGAGAGGAGGCTAGTGTGGATTAAGGTGATGGTTTCAAAATGTGTTCCCTGGATTAGTTGTAACAGAATCACCTGGGAATTTGTTAGAAATACAGATTCTCAGGCCCCATCCTAGACTTACTGAACTAAAATCTTCTGAGGTGGACCAAGCCCTCTGGGTTACTGTGATGCCCACTGTCTGAGAACCATTGGTGAGGGCTTTGCTGTTTAAAGGGTGGCCCGTGAGCTAGCAGCATGAGCATCACCTGGGAGCTAACTTGTTAGGATTGCAGAGTCTCTCTGGCCTTACCCCAGATCTGCTCTATATGAATCTGCATTTTTTATAAGATACCTCAGATGGACTGTATGCATATTAATGTTTGATAAATACTGGGTTTAGGAGTGTTGAAGAGAGCAGAAAAGGGGAATAAGATACAGTTGACTAGTTGCACACAAATAATCTGCCAAACAGTGTCCTCCTGGGTGTGCACACCCTCAGTGTGTCATGGCCCCCATTCCCACAAAGGTCTGATCTTCCTCTTGCAGCACTGAGGCAGTTCAAGAGGAGAAATGCATCCTGCCTTCAGATTGCCTGGAAGTTGGAAGTTCGTAGAGCAGGCAGATCAGAAAGACTCCTCCTTACCTTTCCCCACAATCTTTTCAGCTCAGCTGAGGGCTTCAGAGATAATGATCTGTTTTGTGATAGGCTACAGCTGTGGAGTATGGATCTTCCCCATGGATTCAGTCACATGGAGTTTTTCTTTTTAGGTTTCCTGTTCAAGTATTCTGAATTTTACTGGACAATTCAAACGGGCTGCATTAATTGCATAGGGAAGGCCCATACTGTCCTAAATGTTTCTGCAAGATTATGTCTCCGTTTAGCTGGGAGAAAATACATTAAGAATTCACCAAGCTAATTTTAACAAGGCTAAGAAATAGTTTTGAATTCTATATTTTTATTTGATTGTATATTTATCATTTATTTTTATTGGTGCATTATAATTGTACCTAATGGTGGGATTCATTGTGCCATATTTGTACATGCACATAATTTGCTCAGTCTCATTCCCCAGTATCTTCCTTTCCCTCTCCCTGATCTGCATGTTCTACTGATCCCCTGTTGTTATCGTTATTTTAATTGGTGCATTACAGTGTGTGTGTGTGTATAGGATCCATTGTGGTATTTGTACATGGATGTAATTTGGTAGATTTCATTCCCCAGTACTTCCCTATACCCTCTCCTCCTCCTTTCTGATTCCCTTCCTTACTCCATTGGTCTCCCTTCTATTTTCATGAAATTCTGTGCCTCCCTTCACCTTCTCCCTTTTTAGTTTCTCTCTCTCTCTCTCTCTCTCTCTCTCTCTCTCTCTCTCTCTCTCACACACACACACACACACACACACACACACACACCTGCATGTGAGTGAAAGCATACTACCCTTGACTTTCTGAGTCTGGCTTCATTCATCTAGCATGATGTTCTTCAGTTCTATCCATTTATCAGCCAATTACAAATTTCATTCTTCTGTATAGTTGAGAGTAAAACTCCATTTGTGTATATAGACCACATTTTCTTTATCTATTCCTCTGTTGACAGGCACCTAGACTAGTTCCACAACTATTATGAACTGCACTGCTATAAATAGGCACATGCCTGTATCATTGTAGTATGCTGATTTAAGTTCTTTTTTTTTCATTCTTTTTAAATTTGTAGTTATTGATGGACCTTTATTTCATTCATTTATTGATACGTCGTGCTAAGAATCAAACCCAGTGCCTCACACGTGCTAGGCAAGTGCTCTACCTCTAAGCCACAACCCCAGCCCTGATTTTAGTTCTTTTGGATAAATACCAAGGAGTTGGGTAGCTGGGTCACATGGTGGTTCCATTCCTAAGAACTCTCCATACTTCTTTCCAAAGTGATTGTACTAATTTGCAGTGCACCAACAATGTATAACTGTACCTTTTCCTCCACATCCTTGACAACATTGTTATTTGTATTTTTTATGATTGCCATTCTAACTTGCAGTAAGGTAAAATCTCAGTGCAATTTGTTTTGACACTGAGGACTGAACCCAGGCTGCCGCACCATCGGGCTATATCCCCAACCCTTTTTATTTTTGACACAGGGTTTTGCTAAGCTGTTTAGGGCCTTACTGAGTTGCTGAGGCTGGCCTTGAACTTGTGAACCTCCTGCCTCAGCCTCCCAAGACACTGGGATTACAGGTGCACACCACTGTCTCCAGCTCAGTTTTCTTTTGATTTGCATTTCCCTGATGGCTAAGGATGTTGAACATATTTTCATGTATTTGTTGACCATTTATATTTCTTCTTTTGAGAAATTAATCTTTTTGAGAAACTATATTAATCCTATATTTGAAGAGGAGCTGGCAAAGATTTTCTCCCATTACAAAGACTGTCTTCACACTTGTTTCCTTTGCTGTGAAGAAGCTTGCTAAGAAGCCATCCCATTTGTTGATTCTTGGTTTTATTTCTTGAACTTTAAGGATTAATCTTGTTAAGGAACTTGGTGCCTGCACCAGTATGTTGGAATGTTGTCTGTGTGTTTTCTGCTAGAAGTTGCAGTGTTTCTGGTCTAATTCCTGTATCTTTGATCCACTTTGAGTTGATTTTTTGTGCAGGGTGGGAGATAGGGACTTAATTTCATTCTTCTACATATGGATGTTGTTTTCCCTGCACCATTTGTTAAAAAGGTTAACTTTTCTACAATGTATGTTTGTTGCACTATTACGGTTTAGATATGAGGTGTCCCCCAAAAGCTCACGTGTGAGACGATGCAAGAAGGTTAGAGGTAAAATGACTGGGTTATGACAGTCTTAACTTAATCAGCACATTAATCCCCTGATGGGGATTACCTTGGTGGTAACTGTAGACAGGTAGGATGCGGCTGGAGGAGGTGCGTCATTGGGGGCATTCCTTGGGGTATATATTTTGTCCTTGCTGAGAGGAGAAGTCTCCTCTGCTTTCTGGTTGTTCTGTCCTGAGCTGCTTTCCTCCACTGGGGTCTTCTACCGTGATATGCTGCCTCACCTCCATCCCAGAGCAATAGAACTAGCTGACGGTGGAGAGACCTCTGAAACTGTGAGACCCAAATCAACTTTTTCTCCTCTAAAATTGTTCTTGTCAGGTCTTTAGATCACAGTGGTGAAAAAAGCTGACTAAAACAGGCATCTTTGTAAAGGATTTACACCTGTGTCTATCTGGATTTGTCTGGTTTTATGCCAGTACCATATCACTTTTGTTATTAAAGCTCTGTAGTATAGATTAAGGTCAGGTATTGTGATGCCTCCAGCATTACTCTTATTGCTCAGTATTGCTTTGGCTATCCTGGGTCTTTTATTCTTTCACATAAATTTTAGGACTTTTTTTCTAGTTCTGTGAAGAATGTCATCAGTATTGTGATGAAAATTGCACTGAATCTGTGCATTGCTTTTGGTAATGTGGCCATTTTAACAATACTAATTCTGCCTATCCAAGAACATGGAAAGCTCTTTCCATTTTTTAAAGTCTTCAGTTGCTTTTTTCGGTGTTCAGTGATTTGGAGATCTTTCTTAAATCACTGAACACCGAAGAATTTATTTTCAGGTTTATTATTATTTTTTATGTGTTTGGGAATGGAATTGTTTTCTTGATTTCTTTCTCAACAGAGTCATTATTGGAGTATAGGAAAGGTATTGATTTTTGTTTATCTTATATCCTGCTACTTTGCTGAATTTGTCAGCTCTAGAAGTCTTCTGTCGTTTTGGGATCTTCTAAGTACAGAATCGTGTCATCAGCAAACAGGTTGACTTACCCCTTTCCTATTTGTATCTCTTTAATTTTCTTCTCTTGCCCACTTGCTCTGCTAGTTTCAAGTACTACAACTAAATAGAAGTGGTGAGAGTGGACATCCTTGCCTTGCTCCTGATTTTAGAGGAAATACCTTTTCCCCATTCAGTGTGATATTGGCTTTGGGTTTGTTGTCTATAGCTATTACAATATTGAGGTAAGCTCCTCTATCCCTAGTTCTTTCAGTGTTTTTAACATGAATGGGTGCTAGATTTTGATGAAGGCTTTTTTTTTTCTTTGCATCTATTGAGACGATTATGTGATTTCTCCCCTTAAGTCTATTTATGTGACAAATTACATTTATTGATTTGTGTATGCTGAACCAACCTTGTACTCCCAGGATAAATCCAACTTGATCATGGTGTACAATCTTCTTCATTGTGTTTCTGAATGTGGTTTGCTAATGTTTTATGAAGGATTTTTGCACCTATGTTCATCAGAGATATTGGTCTGTAGTTTTATTTCACTTGATGTGTCTTTATCTGGTTTTGGTATCGGGGTGGTACTTGCTTCATAGAATGAATTTGGGAGTATTCCCTTCCTTTCTATTTTATAAAATAATTTGAGAAGGAATGACCTTAGTTCTTCTTTAAATGTCTGAGAATCTGTTTGGCCCTGGGATTTTCTTTATTGGAAGGCTTTTATTACAGCTTCAACCTCATATATTTTTATTTTTAAATATAGGTTGGTGGATGGAAATATAGAGGTTAGGGGATTCACACTCAAATCTTGTTCACTTAAATGATTACTCATTCATATACTAATTTTACACAAGCTTTTTAAGAAGTATTTAAAGTGCATGTTAAATAGATCTTTTGTACAATTAAAATTAAAGAGCAAGTATTTTAAATTAGTTATACCTACTTTCAAGACTAATGATCATAAAGATTAAATAAAACAATCTGACAAGTGTGACATTAAAGGACATTTTATTTACTGACAGAATAAAAACCATAACTCCAGACAGTGCAAAATGCACTGCTGAACCCAATTACAAAGAACTGGTATTAATACACAATGTTTAAGCAATGCTACACTTATTTTTGGCAAAGTGCTGTATTGTTCACTCTGTATAAAACTGACCTTCTATGAACCAATCCGTATAAAAAAGTTCCATAAAAACAAAAAAATTTAGACAGTGGCTCAAGAAAACAAGCTGCCATTTATGCATAGATTGATATACAGTATATAACCTAACCAAATGTCCCTTTTGAGTTTTCAAGTTGATGAAAAAAAAGGTGTCCAGGAATACATTAAGAAGGCACATAGTACAATCTACAACACTCTTCAGTCTTCATAACTTATGCCCTGCCCTTGAAAAGCAAATGTGTTCACCATTTTACTTGAGGAAAACATAAATCTACTTTTAAAAAAAATAACACACACAATTATTAATTAAAGTTCAAACCTCTGGAGGAAACAATCAAAAGGCAAACAAAACCACTCACACACTCCAAGCCTGAACACACACCAACCTCCCCAAGTACTGGTTTGGTTTTTTACACAAGTCCACCTAGAAAACTAAAACTTCAGGCAAATACAGAGCAAAATTGGGCATTTAACAATTATACATTTAAAAAAAAGTCATATGGAAATTTTTCAACAATATACAAACATTATCCACATAAGCTGCCTTCCTCTGAACAGGAACTTCTCTTTCCACATAAAGGATACTGTTGCAAAGAAAAGTTCTCCTGATCTGTACCTTGTAGGTACCCCTTTCCTCCACTTAAACCTCTTTAATTGGTGTCAGATTTCAAGTGAAATTGCTACATGGCAAGACTGACACCATTTTATTATGTAAGTTTTCTAAATAAAGCATTTTATATAAAATTTTAAGCTTTAAAATAAGTACATAGGGATGTCATTAATAATACATCAGCACGGCTGATAGCTGTGAAACTATCCATGATAGGAACCCATCTTTAAAAGAGTCTAACTAGTATTTATGGGCCTTATAAAATAAAAGATAATTTCAAGGTAACATAACAAACATACTAGTATCTCCTAGTACAAGGAGCAGTCTCTTAACTGATTTGAAAACAGAAACAAATACTTGGAAACTTTTCTCACTAATCTATTTAAATGCAGATATCTGTCTTCTAGTTGGGTTCCTTCATTTTTTGCTTCCAACTCAAAGAAAATAAGAATAATGAAGATGTCCTTGCTCTTTTTTCTTAAGAATATAAAAAAGATGATATATTTCCTTAAGGAGGAAGAGACAGCAAGGTAATTCAAATTTCAACAAACTAGCATTACAAAACCAGTCTACTATACAGATCTGAGAAGCAAAAACAACAGGTAATGCTGAATGGCCCTCTCAAGTTTTAAGTAAACTATCTTCTTGCTAGAATCAAAGAACTGATAGAACAGAGAAGGTATGTAAACAGGAACAGTCTGTATGGGAACTGGAAAAATATACAGGAAATTAATGTGTTTGTGCTTGTGTGTGTGTGTGTGTGTGTGTGTGTGTGTGTGTGTGAGTGACATCTCCCTGCAACAGGAAGTCTAAAATCCAATCATTTTGCATTTTCTGCAAAAAACTTCCCACCCACCCAGCCATATAAATGCATTGCTACAGAAGATAAATAACAGATAGCAAATCTTCAACTTATAGTGCAGAACATAATTTGATTAGCTGAGGAAGAAAAATAAACATAGGATACACATTAAAAAATATTTTACTAATGAAAACATAAACTTTGAGGAATGTGGTGCATTATTAAAAGTCAGAAATCTATTCATGAAGCACTGCCTGTGTGCACCACACATTCCAGACTTTTTCCAAGTAACATTCTATGGTATCAGTTTAGAAACAGTCAGAGCTCCCAAATTCAGAGGAATCTTATTTCTCACTGCCTGAACTTTTAAGTAATATGCACAAATATGCATTGTAAACCACTAATAATCACAATAGCAAAAATAGCAATCAATTCACAAAATGCTTTTTGGCCATGTTTTAAAGAATATGTAATAAGTCAACATCATTCTTTTGTTGGCCTTATGTCTTACACATGGTCAATACCTCTTAAACATCTCATGACCAAGAATTTCAGCTGAATTATATAACCATTTTATTCAATTCTTACATGTACCAATTTTAGACAGAAATCTTAGATACTGACACAAAACCACAGTCTTCCATCACAGGTGGTATGGTAATCCTAATTCTGAAAAAAAAAAAAAAAAAAGTCCCAGTGACTGAATTTTTTTGTTTTCCAGGTACAAAGCATAAAAAAACAAGGCCCAGGTAAGGCAAACAAAAAGTCAATAACTGTTAGAGACATAAATGTATTTAAGGTATCAAGAAGTCTGAAATAAAAAGTAGTTTAAAAAAAAGATTATTGCAGTTTTATATACAAATCTGTTCATGCCGCCTAACAAATTCTCATGACTGAACTTCTGTGGCTTGTGGGGTACTAACAACTCTCATGCACTGTATGAAAGTGGCCCCATGAAGGCAGAAGTTTAGGTCCAAAAGACACCTCTCTGGTTTGTTTTCGAGTCACCAGTGTGAGGCCCTAAAACAGACACAGTGTAACACACACACTTTCATGAAAACTCTCCCAACTATGGTAAACACAAATATTAACAAATAACTTCTCAGTTTGACAAAACTTTACAGACTTGGCCCCTAATTAGAAAATAAATAAATAAAAGGGGAAGTCCTTAGAAAAGGGGAATAAAAAAAGAAGGGGGCTCTAGACTCTTGTTCTAAAGAGACGTCTGGCACTTCATCACAGCCAGTGGAAGAACAATCTAAACCACCAACTAACTGCATGTTTGACCTTTTCCAACTCAAATGCCCCAGTCGTGTCAGAAAAGAGCACAGCTCTTCCCTGGAAGTCTCCCAGGGTTCCCTGCATCAAGCTGCTGCAGGGTTAATGAAAATATAATACTTCACAGGACTTTATGCTGCTTTTTCCTTGAAAACATTTCATAGACATGTGCTCATCTACTAGGGTTGCAGAGGAGATGGAAAAATAGGCTGAATGTGCAGGCAGTGCTACTGTTCTGTGGGTAGCATGAGCTTTCAACCGTGAATGCATTTAAGTTAATTTCAGAGGAAGCCAGCAAGGGTGTGGACAGTTCCGCAGAAGCCATCACCAGAGTGAAAAAATGAAGCAACTGGCTAGAGGTATGGAAATAGATTTTTCTGTGTCGAGTTAACTGGCCTTCGTGTGAGTTGAACCCTGCACCCTGGCCTCATTAGCACCAACACTGTGAAGAACAATGGTGGCAGAAGAACTGCGACAGCCCGCCATCACTAGATTCAGTAGAAAGGCCCTTGGAAGTTCACACGAGGTTCAGTTGTGGACAGCCCCATTTCCCATCAGTATGCGATCCTCACAACGACCCTGTGAGGGAGGTAAATGTTACTACTCTCCTGTTGTGGAGGAAACAGAGGCCAAAGTGGTTCAAGATTTTGCCTGAAGTTAAAACAAAAAATGAAAGCTCAAGGAAGCCACCTGTCACTCTTCTCACAGGCACGATGAAGACATCACCAGAAGTCCCTCTTCACCCTTGCTTGCCCCTTGGCAGGACAAGCTCCATGTCAGAGGGTTTTCACTGTGTCTAGAAATAAGAAGTCCATCGCTTTTCTTGTGGGCAGATAGAAATATGAAAAGTCACTCAAGTGTCTGGACAAGTACATCTGAATTTATAGCTGCTATGAGGAGGAGTGGGCAGAGTGGCAGGAAAGAATCCAAACAACTTAAATATGGACTAATGGGTTACTTATAGACATGGGTTTTTTCAACTATAATTTCACAGGTCTAATTTCTTCCCTCTGCACATGAGACAAGTGCTTTTGTCCATGATACCTGATCTGTACCACATCACATAGTCCCATCGGAATTGCTGAATGACTGTTCACTAAAGCTTAATGTACCTGAATTCCACAATGAACTGCATGACTAATCTGGAAAAAAATAATCACATACAGAAAATATCAAGTTTTCTTTCAAAAGAAAGTCCAGCCATAATTCCATTATATCCAATGGCAACTATCACCTGTTAATGCTCATGTTAGTGTGTAAAAATGTATTCATATTATACAGAAAAGATTATCAAGTACTGGTCAATAAAGTGTATGGCTGACCCTGAGAATAAATTTTTGCTTACTCAAAAGATTAAGTAATACAAAATAAAATGAAAATTGTAAGATGCCTATTCTCGTACTTGGGGGAAGAAATGTCTTTAAATTGCTGACTAACCTGTGTACACCTTAATAAATTTAAAGACATCCCCAAACACCAAACACTGTAATTGTATTGATATGTTTCCAAAAATATCCTGAAAAATTTTACAAAAAAGTACATGTTAGGAGCAAGGCATTATGTGAAACACAGCATAGAAATCTGGTTTTTAAGATAGTGTCTAAATACACTGATAAACTATGTGATTGGTCATCAATTGGCTATAAAGAGACAGCATTTTCATTGTACATATACGTACATCCCACACAGGTGCACAAACCAAGAGAAACCAACCAGCAAAACTTGAAATTCTTAGTAATTGTACTGACGCGGGCAGGGCTGATGAACCACCCAGCCACTGTGCCTGACTTGCCGGGAGTGGCAATCCCTGGTAAGATTTTGGCGACGAAGACTATTTCTGTTCAGAGACTGCCTTTCACCATGTTCTTTTATCCACTGGGAAGGGCGAAAGCTCTTGGGTTGTTCCAGAAAAGTTGTATGAGCAGCAAGAGCTGCAACATAGCAGTGGATGTGTTGCCCCACTTCATTTTGGGCTTCCACTCTGAAACAGAAAAGTAGGATGCATTGAAGAGCAAAGTATGTGATTAAGGAAACTCAAAAAGACATTTCACAATTCAGTTGGACACACTGATTTGTGGTTGGATGAGTTTATATTTTGTTACCATACTGACTGATAGTGGTGGAAAGGAGAAGCCAAAAAAATAATTTTTTTTGGCGGTGGGCTACCAGGGATTGAACTCAGGGACACTAGACCACTGACCACATCCTCAGCCCTATTTTGTACTTTTAATTTAGCAACAAGGTCTCACTGAGTTGCTGAGCACCTTGCTTTTGCTGAGGCTGGTTTTGAACTTGCAATCCTCCTGTCTCAGCCTCCGGAGCCACTGGGATTATAGGCGTGCACTACCCTGCCTGGCAGAAACCAACTTTTTAATAGTTGGTTCACAGATGAAGCAGACTGTACTCTAAAAATATGCTTTATACTTTGAAAGAATTAAAGCAAGTTTTTCTAGTCAGGGAACTAACATTGATTGAATTTCTGTATTTGCCATCTTTTTGGGGGGAAGTATTATCTATTTTTGTTCTTACCATTATCTATTTTCCTTTTTCTTTTTTGCACAGTACTGGGGATTTACATAAGGGTACTCTGCCATGAGCAATATCCCCAGTCCTTTTTATTTTTTTTTTAAACTTTGGTTGCCTATGCTGGCTTTGAACTTGTGATTCTCCTTCTTCAGTCTCCTGAGTAGCTAGAGTTACAGATGTGTGCTATTGTGCAGGGCAGTCACTTTATCTTAAAAAGAAAAAAAGATTTTTTTTTGGTACTGGGATTTGAACCCAGGGACTCTTTACCACTGAGCTACACTCCCAAATCTTTTTATTTTTGATTTTGAGACAGAGTCTCACTACGTTGCCGAGGCTGGCTGTAATCCTCCTGCCTCAGCTTCCTGAGTTGCTGGGAAATAGGTGTGTGCCACTATGCCTAGAAGGAAAATATTTTAATTCTCAAATTTTACTTATCAGAATGAACTATGCCAAGAGCACATTCACAGATACTTTCTGCCTACAAATAAAATGTTCTAGGAAGTATATTTTAAGCCCATATTTCATGGAAGTATATGCATAAGGAAATTCTACTGACAACATTTTTCTAGCCAGAAGCCACTGCTTATTATAGAAGACAACTCCAAATTTTATTTATATATGATAAGGCATATTCTGGAATGGCATTTACTGTTGAGGTTTCAAGACCCTTGAGGAACACATCATCTTAAAACATGGCCACACACCACTACGGTTATCGTGTCTTCTATATTAAAAGTTAACCAAGTAGGATTGGTCTAGACTATATTAATATATATCATAAAGAGTTTAAGTTTCTATTTTTTTGTAGTACTGGGGAATCAAACCCATGGCCTTGCACATGCTGCCCAAGTGCCCTCCACTGAGTTAAACATCTAGCCCAAGTTTCAAAATTGTTAAGGGTTATTTTACACAGGAAGGGCAGTTGAATGTTTTGCCTAAAATCACTTGAGGAAAAATACTTTTAACACACAAACACATGTATTTAAATTTGAATTAAATCAGGTTTCATTAAGAAACTGATAGAGGGTTGGGAGTATAGCTCAGTGGTGGAACACTGGCCCAGCTTGTCCAAGGCACTGGATTCATCTCTAGCACCACTCACAAAACAGAACTAATAGGAGTTGACATAAAGAAAGTGGTTCATAAAAGGTGGGCATTTGGGTATCTAGCCTCCCTATGCAAACTGGTAACAGAGATCACACAGTCTCAAAGTTGAGTATACTTACTCTGTGCCCGTGAGTCTTATAAGCAGCTTTTCCTGGCCCTACAAATGTTAAATGGTGAACTATTAAATCACTAGTAAGATTTAAAATGCTATTTTAATTTTATTGTTAGGACGTGGTCAACTTTTCTTTATTAAAACTAATTTACTATAGGTCATTAAAGGCACATATATTAAGATTATGAGAGCTCATAAACTTTCACAAACAATATTCATAAAAGCTAAAATGCACATGCCAAAGCTCATTATAATTATAAAGCACCTTATTTTTATGTGCTTTATGGTAATATCCCTGAGGACAGCAGCATGGTAGCAATTTAACTTTTGAAAGATATATGGTTTATTGCCTTCTTAAAAAACATAGATTTTGTTGTTGCCGTTATTGTTATTTTATGGTGCTGAGGATAGAACCCAGGGCTTCATGCATGGGAGGCAAATGCCCTACCACTGAGTTCTATCTTCAGTCCTTAGAAAACACTGATGTTTACTACATAGCTAGCCTCCTAATTTTTCAAACACCTGGTTCTATCTGGATATAATGGGCCTTAGAATTTCAAATCCAAAAATATGAATGTTAAAAAAAATTAGCTGCTATCATTAAACTATAATAATCTTCAGGATTTTCCTATGTGCAAAAAAATTCACATAAAGTTTAGTGCATTCTTTTGATAATTTATAGAAAAGTACCTATTTAACTATTCTATATAACATGTGAATACAAAAACAAACAAGATAGAAAAACAACATTCTCACTGCATCAAAACTACAAATGCATAACAACCAAATGCAGTACATGGTCCTGGATTAGATGCTGGTTTTGGACAAACTTGAAATAAGAAAATGTCAGTATAATTTGGCTAGCAGTATAAAAATTTGTTGAAGCAAAATGGGTACCACTGTCTAAATAAACAGGTTTTAAATAGTATATACAGCATGGTCCATTTGGGGTAAAAGCATTTGTGTGGTTATGTAGGTATGGGTACACACAGGAAAAACAATCTGCCCTAGGCTATTTATATACCTTTGGGTCATGAGAATGTCATTTCAATTTTTTAAATGTTTGCATACTTGCATTTCCTTGGCTTCTGTAATACTGAGTTATTTTACAAAGCTGCATACTACAGACATATACATGTACTTTTAAAAATGAAAAGTAAATATACAAATGCCAGTAAGTTTAAAGTTAATTATTAATCATGCTAAATTCTTGAGTGAAATTCCTCAGAGGTGAGACCAGAATCAAAAGGGAAGAATATTTAAGAAGTGAAGAAATTTTAAAAAACTACAAAGCAACTAAATCAAATATCACCTCCAAAAAGTTATAGTTTAAATTTTTGTTGGAATGCCTGAAGCACCTCTTGATAAAATTATGGGGCTGAATAAGTGCCAGTTAGATAAACATCTCCCACCAAAGATCTTATCCAGTCTACAACCTGTATCACTTAACTATATAAGCACATTGTTTTTCATTTTGGTATAAGCAAAATGAAATATGTTTAACCTCAAAAAAGATCATTACAATATTGAGACTTGAGAGGGCAGCAAACTCTGGTACGGTTAAAGAGCTTCCTGGGCCTTGTTTATATTTGGCAAACAGGAAACAGAATATATACACAATGGTCTTGTTAGTGGAGCCAGGACCTGGACAATCTAGAAGAGGCCCTTTAGATAACAGTGAATTGCTCTAAAGTATCCAAATTCACCTGGACCTTTGACTTATAAGTTGGTGCCAATATCCCCCAAATGCTTCAAAGTCACAGGGAACATTTTATTGAAATGCATAATGGATTAGCTGGACTGGGCTAATTAACATGGTAATGGGGCTTTATTTAGTGGGTGGGGGCAATCTCAAACATATTCCTTGGATATGTTCTCTGATAAAAGCCACATAATATCTGGAAGTCTGTTTTGGAACATCATAATCTTTACTCACTGGGTATCTGCCAGAATTTACCAGGCCCTCTCTCCCCATCTGCCATTCAGACAGAACACTCAGGCCACTTGGACCCCCAGAAAACAACAAAACATCATTTTGGTATGAAATCTTTCCTCTGTAAGGCAGAAGATAATTCTCTGAACAAATATTTTGGTAAAGCAGCTTTTGTACTTTATGTTTAAGATTTCTTAGGTTTTCATTGTTAAGCACCATTTAATGTGGCCTAGCTAGGAATATGTAGAAAAAAGTAAAAGACATAAGACATACTATACTGTTAAGTGTGTTAATACAGACTGTTTGGCTGAGTTTGATACTCTAGATGATCTAGTCTATAATGTGCCAGAATTATATTCTAAAATACTTGGCAGAAATGCCAGTCTTTTATTTTCCTTCATAGCAGAATTTTATCATACAATTTTATAAATGAGAGCTCTCTATTATATAACCATGCTACTACTTTTCAAAAAATCTTAAATGAACAAATTTTTATACCACTGACCACCTGTGCACTATATGCACATGCCTTCCTAAATCTCTAAACGAATCACTTTTGCATCTCCTAAAAACTTATCTTTGAATTGTAGCAGAAATAAAGAGAACACATGCTCAGCAGACTATCTGCAAAGAACAAATTATTTGCAACATACCTGGGACTACTTGGGTTATGAAATTCATCAGTCCCACAGCTGGCCTCACTGAGCCCAGGGCAGGAGTTATGCACAGCATAGACAGACATGCTGGGATGTTCGATGAGAAGGTTTTCCATAGGACTCGTTTCCACCTTGATAGTGGTTAATCCACCTGCAGTAAAACATGGGGGAGGGGTGATAAACCAGCTCTCCTCCATTGGACAGGACTCAAACTGGAGGAAACAGGAATCAGTTGTATCAGCCAAGCACTCCAGAGATGCAGGTAAACAGGAAAAGACTGAAGGGTGTTCTGTAGGTGACTCTTCACTGATGTCTTCTTCTTCCTCTTCCTCTGCTGAGAAACTAGTGCAAGTGTCTAGATAGCAGTCCACATTGCAGTTCACATCCACGGGAGGATGATTATCACATTGATCAGTCACAGTGGAGCCACCCATCAAATTCACAGCACAGAAAAAGGAAAGACAATACTGTTAGCTGATGCTCACATTCCTCCCTTTATTTAGTTCAGAAACAAAACCATTTATATTTTTTCATACTTATTATAAAATAATTTTCCAGTACTGTGTATATGTTGGGGAATGGGGGAATATTATATCGGCTTTGCAGGAATGGTTTTAGGGCTGTTTCTATTCTGCTAAATAAACATATAATGAGCCATTAAGGTTCCTGCTTGTCTAATATGAGGTTTTTCTATTAAAGGGCCTCTGATTGGATCAGGCTGTACAAGTGACAAAACTGGAAAGTGTGACATTAATCAATTTTACTGACTGATCATCTGGGCCAAAATGTTTGCCAAATTTTGTTTCTTTAGACAATGTTTGTTTACTCATTTTTTTTTTTTTTTTTTTTTTTGGTGCTAGGAATTGAACCCAGGGCCTTGTGCATGTGAGGCAAGCACTCTACCAACTGAGCTATATCCCCAGCCCTGTTTACTTACTTTTAAAGCTTAAAAATCATCAGTTACTGGTTTACTTAGGCAAAAAATGATATGTGAGAGTTTCTACTTTTATTGTGAAGATTTATCCTTGAGTATACCTTACCAATGAAATCAACAAGAATCCATTCATCATCTTCTTTCTCGCTAAATTCTGGTTCATGGTTAGAAGAAGTATTAACTTCACCCACAAACATTTTATTCAGCCTCTGGAACATTATTAAGGCAAGATTGAGACTTTGGCTGGGTGTCTTTATAGCTGAGATTTCAAAATCCTATCTTCAGTTAGCCCAACAGCGCAGACAGGTGATTAAAGTGCACAGGGTGCTTATTCAACTTAGGTGAGAAGCAATAAGAATCATCATCCCTAAAACAAAACAGAAGGAGGAGGTTATTTCAAATCAGCATATATTTATATGTGGACATTTTAAAGTGCACACATACCCTCAGAAGAAAGCACACACTTTAGCCTACATTCTACAGCTATTCTCTTCCTGCAGGAGCCAAACCGGAGACACGCAACATTCATTATTTATAAAAAATCATGAATCGAGTATCCAAATGCAACCTTCACATTATCTTAAAATGCAAAATAAAAAGGAAGGAGTTGTTTTTGTCACACCTGTGCTTTTATAAGGGATGAATTTGAAAAATACATTTCAAACTACAGGGCTTAGGGTATAGCACAGTAGTAGAGCTCTTGCCAAGCATGCATGAAGCCCTGGACTAAATCACCAGCACTGCCAACACACACACATACATATACACACACACACACACACCACTTTTATCTCAAACAGTAGTACCTCTCTGGTATAAGCAAAACTACACATGAAGGGTCTTGTTATATAAGGCTCCAATGCCCAGAAGTTTTCCAGTGAACATAGCAACTGTGCCACGTGACCACAATTATACCTGGCGCCGTCTTCCCCTGGCTCTGTTTCCCTTCCATCCTGTACTTCTTGTCTATGACTACATTTAAAATCTACAAGCACTGCACACTGGCCTCTAAGACAATTCCTATATCTGGCATGGAGAGATCTACACTGGAGAAAACTGAGCTGGGCAGCAAGTGGAGCTGGAGACACCATTCCCCGAGGAGCAGCTCAGCAGGGGGTTCAAACCCTGGCTCTCTGCTTACTCACTATGAGATATAGAAGCTATGTGACTTCAGTTGTTAAGAGTTCCTACCTCAGGGAGTTCTAAAGGAGGAATTCCAGTTTGCTTGATCTTGTCAGAGATGCAGATTTATTTACCCATTTTTACCTGGTTACTAGATAGTATATCAAACTGCTCACATATCAAAAAGAATTTCAATTCCCCCACACACACTTATTCATCAACACTGCCCTTTGTCACCTTCTCAGTAAGCAGCAGTTGCCCCAGCAGTCGTTGAGGCAGACAGCCAAACAGTTCCTTCACTCCTTTTGCTGCCTCCTGCCCACTCAGCTCTCATCCAAACTACCAGCAAGCTCTGTGGACTCTGGGCTGCACAGGTAGCTCAAATCTACCTACTGTCTTTCATCACTCTCACCCTAGTTGAAGACAACTTCCCCAGGACTTTGCCAAAACCATCTTCTAAAAAGTCTCCCTGATCTTACTTTTGTTAACTGGGTTAATGCAGGCAATATGCTTAGCACATATGTACTTGGCACAAACTTCTCTGTCTAGGTCAACTATTCTTCTGACAGATATTTACTGGGCACCTATTAGGTATAAGGCATATACTGAGCACAGGGGAGATGGCAGTGAACAAGGCCCTCCCACAGCAGGTGACACAACCTGGTGGGATGAAGCCATGCAGGAAGAATACTGGACAGTCCTCCACCTTCCTGGGTGTACCCCTGCAGTAAATGGCTTTAACCTTGAGGAGTAGACAAGACTAGGCAGGGAGGGGAAAACAATAAGGAACTCTATGGAAGCCTGTAGATGAGTGAGAATGTGGCTCAAGATCTAAATGGAAGGTGATAAGAGCAGACTGCAGGCTAAGCAGGAACCAGAATCCGCAAGGCTTTGGAAGGCAGAAGGTATGGGGGGAGTGGGGAGACAGTTAGATTGGGTTTCTGACTTGGCCAATTAAGAGATGGTGGCAAATTTAGGGGAAATAGTATTGCAGAAAGAACAGGTTGGGCATTGTGGACATGCTGTATTTGGGGAGTCTGCATGACAATGCATCTGGAGATGTCTAGTAGGCAGCTGAATATGAGACATTGGAGTTCAGGAGTATGATGTTAGGTGGAGAAGCAGATCTGGGACTTTTCAACACAAAAGGGGAAAGAAACCATAAGAATGGATGAGATTACCCAAGGATGGCGAAAAGAACCTCACTACTCAGTTCTTATGGCAAGAATCAGCTTTGGATAACTTCAGACTCTTGACCTTTTACATTCAGAATAATCATCTTCAGCTATGAAAGTAGTTGAGAGATGTAGCTGATGAGAATTTTGCTGGGTTTAACTTGTTGTGTACAAACAAGACTGTTCCAATTGTTTGGCACAAGGGTAAAACATTTCAAGTAAATGACATTAGGATACTTTGTGGTCACAATTCATCATCCTCAGCCACTAATTAAAAGTGGGTAAACAGGAAGTATTACTTGCATAACCAGTCTTCCTGAAACCTTCTGGAAAGCAACATGGCCAAATCATGAAAGCTGGAGCTCTAGCATGAGAACTTAGATTTGGCTGTATGGCCCATGTAAGACATTAAAAGTGGGCTCAGCAGACTGGGGTTGTAGTTCAGTGGTAGAGCACTTGCCTAGCACATGTGAGGCACTGGGTTTGCTCCTCAGCACAACATAAAAATAAAATAAAGGTATTGTATCCATCTACAAAAAAATTCTTTTTAAATGGGCTGTGTAGTTTGCATGACCTACTGCAGTATGATAGTTATGTCCCCAAAGATGAACCATTCCAAGTTCTGATATAAATGAATATTTTTGAGCATGTAAGCTAGGAGGAAAAAAGTTTTCTAATAATTCTGGAGAGCATAGTATTGGATTATGAGTCCATATCAGCTAAGTAGCTGGAGCTGCTGGGTGAGGAGGAGTGCACCCCACAGAGACCCTTGCTAGAACTGAATGAGTGCCTTGTCCCCCACTTGTGATGATTCCTGAAGGCAAGGTACTGGGGCCCAGGCCAGACTAGTGGCAACTACAGGGCAGAAAATGGAAAACGTTGCTGGGGCAGCTGCTGAATTCCTAAGTACAAAATGTCCCTCTAGCTACACCTCCAAACCCATGGAGTGGAAACTGGCTTGTGCCTGGAACACGTGCAGCTCTGCCAGAGGAAAGGCTCTGCCAAAAGAACTGAGGAGCAGCACAGGTCAGTGCTTTTTTTTTTTTTTTTTTTTTTTTTATGCCTCCAGGTGTCCCACGTCTCTTCAAGGACAACCAACCTTAGGTGGGCAGAGTGCCGAAGCCTAGTCAAGTGAGGGAGGGAAGAGCTCATCCTTCATCTCCCCTGGGTCACTACTGGGTGTTTGGAAGGACACAAAATGGAGTCCTGGGGGAAGAGGAGGAGCACTGGCCTGGGTACCAGCAGAAGCTCTGGCTCTAACACAGGTAGCTGGAATTATACAATTCAGCCCTCCTGAGGCTTAGCATCACTGTTGGAAAAATAGGCAGTCAGCACCAAATTGCCTAAAGGGGATCCCCACAGACTTCTGGTTCAGTGAAGAAGTGAGACTGGTGTAACTATACAAAGGAAAGTTCCTTCAGTCTTGCTTTCTGTGGGTGTCACAAGGGACAAGGAGCTTCTGGAGAGACCGTCATACACTAAAACTGTCCAGTGCAGTAGCCACCAGGCACAGAAGGTGAACAAATACGTGAAATGTGACTAGTGCAGTTGAGGCGCTTAATTTTTCATTTAAATCCACTTAAAATTAAAAACTTGATAATGGAGTCAAATTTTGGAAGACTTTCAAGTGTGTCTGGAACAATTAGGGTGTGTGAATCTGCTTTTTCAACTGTAATCTTCAGATACCTTAATACAGACCAAGTATTTCCTATGAGAATTTTGCGTCTGAATTGATATGTTGTGTATAAAGTATACATTGCAGTGCATTTGAAAGACTTAGAACCAAATAAAGTAAAACAGCTCCTTGATGATTTTTACCTTGATTACCTGTCAAAATAATAAATGTTGGACACATTAGATTAAATATTGATAAAATTCATTTCTTTTGCCTCTTTCAACATGGCTACTAGAAAGTTTAAAACACACGTGGCTCACATTGTAATTTCTGTTTAACAGTGCTGTTTCAGGAAAATCTCCTTAAAATCTTAAGGGACTCTCCTCCCACAGATGACCCAGAGACTGTCCCTGCTCCTCTTGACCTTGGCTCCCACACAGGGGTGGAGACTCTCAGTGGCGGCTGGTCCTACTTGGAGCTAAAAAGCAAAGCAGGGCTTTAGACTTTTCTCTACCCCCATACAGCCACTGACTCTTTGATATTTACAACTCTGGGATAATGATAAAACTAAAATGAAAGTTCCAGAATACCATGAGTCCTAGAAGACACATTTACAACTCTGGAATTTACCAAAGAGGTAGGTGTAGAGAAGGCTGGGTGGGGCAACACTGCTTTTCTTTGAGACACCTGCAACCTCTAAGCTAGAAGCAGCCTCAGCCCAGCAGGACCTCAGTGGAGAAAAAGTATCCTGGCACAAGCATTTGGCGAAGGTTGCTCTGTCAGGGTCCTGTCTGGCTCAAAATACCTCCACCCCTCCCTTTAAAAAACAACTCATATTTTTTATTATAAAATAAGCAAAGCCATATTAGAAAGCTGAGAAAGCAAATAAGTTATTATTCCATTATCTTGTTGCAATTATTGTTAGCATGTTGGTATATTCTAATTTTTTTCTTCTACAAGGTTTCTTTTTATCATAGTTGTAGCCTAGTGAATGCACAATTTTGTATCTTGCTTTGTTACTGAACATTTTATCATCGATGTTCTTCATATTATCACATGAATAGGAAAGCTCTATGGGTAGCTGAGTTTAATACTTATGGATAAGAGCATTCTATTTGAGAACTTAGAATGCAGTTGCTTGTTTGGAAGGTCTTGTGAGTATAACTTATCTTCTCATTTTTGGGGAGGGGTACCGGGGATTGAACTCAGCAGTACTAGTCACATCCCCAGCCCTATTTTATATATTTTTAAAAAATATTTATTTTTTAGTTTAGTTGGACACAATACCTTTATTTTATTTATTAATTTATATGTGGTGCTGAGGATCAAACCCAGGGCCTCACATGTACTAGGCGAGTGCTCTACCGCTGAGCCACAACCCCAGACCCCTATTTTATATTTTATTTAGAGACAGGGTCTCACCGAGTTGCTTAGTGCCTCACTTTTTGCTGAGGCTGGCTTGGAACCTGTAATCCTTATGCCTCAGCCTCCAGAGCTACTGGGACTATATATAGGGGTGTGCCACTGCTCCTGGTTTATCTTCTCATTTTTGGGATAGGTAATACACAAGAGGTAACACGTGGTACCTAAAGGTGGCCTGCTCCCTTTGAAATTTTGGCTCTGTGCTGCAACCCATGTGAATTCAGGATATTTAGTAACCTCTTGGTGCTCCAGTTTTCTCATCCTTAACATAAGAATGATAGTTATATTACCTACTTCTTAGTGCCAATGTGAGGATTAGGTGTGTAACACTTAGAATAGTGCCTGGCACATAACAAGCATTTGTAACTATTAACTACAAGTTCATTCCAAGCTACCTGTGAGCATGTGAGCATCTCTGGGTCTGCTTTACCTGTAAAGTATCTATATAATAATTAGAGCTACAATTTGTAGAATACTAATCATATGTGACAGGAACTTGAGATACTTGTCCCATTTTACTGATGAGGCAATTGAGGCTCAGAAATTAATTGCTCTGAAGCGACAGAGCTAGTCACAGGTGGAGCCAGCGTTACAGCAGAAATCCCTTTGATTTCAACCCCTTTCTTTTTCTCTGCAAATGATCTCTCAGTCTCCTCCTAACCACAACTCTGTTCTATGAATTTCACAGAAGAGCACTTTTCAGTTGATTTTAGCTGCCAGTAGGCGGCACCAAAAAAGCAACATTTTAAAACTTAAAAAACAAAACAAAAAACAACCATAACTTTGATGAGTGCAGCTGTGGCTCCTTTACAGTTTCAAAATATCAGGTGGCTAAACACACCTTCATTGAAAAGCAGCCTCAAAAGTATTCTACCACTAGTTTCGAAAAATAAAGATGCTGATTCAATTAAAAAAAAAAAAGTCTTGAACTAAAAAAACATAACAAAACAAACAAACAAACAAAAAAAAAAAAAAAAAAAACAAGAAAGTGGCCTTTGCTTGTTCCAAGTCTACTCAGTCTGTTCACCCAGTTTACATTGGAGGCTATTTCCCCATGGATCCTGCTGTCTTTCCTCAAAGCTGAGCAGTGGGCAAAGGCATCAGTGGGATGTAATTCATAGCCTGTTAACCTTGAATTTTGAAAGCAGAGCCATGCCTAAAAGAAATACACAAAGGGACAGAAAAGAACAAAAGGTAGCCTGAGAAAACAAAAGAGACCTTGGTCACAGAAATTATGTCCTGATTTCAGGCAAGGGCCTTTGAAAATTATGCTGCCAGTTCAGAATTACAATGGTTGCAACCTAAAATCAAAAGCTTCCCAGTACTTTTTCCACCTACAAATGAAAAACATAATTCAATTACGAAGCAAGTGATTTCAGGATCTTGGGGGCAGTCTTTATGACCTCTGTTAAATGACCCGAGGGTCACACCCTCCCCCCTTTTTTTCTCAAAACTACTTTGCATTTAGAAAAGACTCTTTTAGCTAGGGATGCCCAAGTCCTTAGGAGCTACAGATGGAAAGGGGCTCCTCCTTAATCTACTGAAAACTGGAATTAACATACTAAGCAGATGTGCTCAGAAAATACAAATCAAAACCTAGAATGCCCACGTCAATTCATCTGCAACTTTGAAAGAGTAAATATCATTTTCTTTTAATGGGCTGCCTGGCCCTCAAATTACTTAATTTCTCTGTGCCTTGGGTCTCCTTTCTATAAATAAGCCAGGCCTGCTACATAGGCTTATTGTGAAGACCATCTGGGATAATGTATTTAAGCCCTCGGCTTAGTATATGGCACATTCTAAGCACCAGTGATCAAAATGATTAGGATTTAAATGACGGGTAAGACAAGTCCTCCTTCCACGGGTGCAACCTCAAACCGTGAAGTGTAAGATCAGGTGGGGTCCTGGAAGAAGCCACCGACAGGCGGACACTCAGGCGGGGGCCGGTCCCGGGTAACGGAGCAAGTTTCCCGGTGCTGAGCTACGGTGCGCGACCCTTTGCTGGGAGGGCAAGCAGAGGGGACTAGGAGCCTAGGGCGGGGAGGCGGCGAAGCGCTGGGCCACTAAGTCGGAGCGACGCGTCCCGGGCAGCGGCCGCTCCTCTGGAGCCCCGACGCAGAGTCCCGAGTCCCGAGTCCCGAGCGGGCAACTCCATCCAACGGCGGAGCTCCGGAGGGCAAAGGCAGCAGTGGGATGGAGGAAAAGCACTGGAAGAGGGTGAGGAGGAGGGAAAGAGGGGGAGGTCCTGCCGCGGCCAGAAAAACAGGCCACACTCGGGGGAGGAGGCAGAAACCGAACACCCAACCGCCGCCCAGCGCCGGAGCTCGGTCCGGCCCGTGTCCGCACGCCGGGCCGCGGGGGCCGCTGAGCGCCAGCCAGGAATGGGCGGCGGCGGCGAGCGGGGGAGCGGGAGCCGGCGCTCCCCGAGAGCAGGGCGCGCGGCCAGACCCGCGGGGCTCCGGACCCCGGACCCCGCCGGCGACGCCGCGGCCCGGGACTCCGGCCCCGCCCGCACTTACGTGGGCCGGAGCTGCAGCGGGGACGCGGCACCGAAGCACCGCGAGCTCGGGGCGGGCGCGCGGCGGAGGCTGCTGAGGTAGCTGCGGCGGAGCCGGGCTGCGCCTCTTTTGGGTCCGGGACGGCGGGCGTGGGGCCGGCTCCAGCCCTCCCGTTGCTGCCCTGGCCGCCGCCGGCCCGTCCAGGTCCTTTTGTTGTTGTGCAGCCCTCGGAACAGCTGATCGGCCGCTCCGCCCGCCGTCGGGCCCGGCCGCCCCGCCCCGGGGCCGCGCCAGGCTCGGCCCCACCAATCGGCGGCGCGGGAGCCCCGGGGCCGCCCTGCGAGAGGTTGTCACCAACGCACGTGACCTGGCGCCGAGCCGACAACGCTCTGGACTCAGAAACAAGCCCGGGCAACAAAGCCCGGAGTCTAGCGTACAGACCTGGGCGAGTGGGAGGGCGAGGAGGGGCTCAGGGCTGGGGCGCAGGGCTGGGGCCCCCCACACTGGAGCTGCTGGGAAGTAGAGCAGGAAGGAGTGCGAGGAAGCACGGAAGAGCCGGGGCTCACGAGTTCTTGGGGGCACTGGGAACATGAAACACTTTTATCTTGTAAGAGGAAAATTAAGGTGGCCAAGGGTGACGAAGACTAAATTTAGACTCCAAGACCCGCTCCCGTCCGGTGTAGGGTAAACCTGTAGATACCGTGCCCAAGGCAAGCCCGCTTCTGGGCCTTCCTGGTAAGGAAGATCTGGGCCCTATAGAGAGGGTGCCAGCCCTCAAAACCTTTTAAGACAGGGAGCCGGGTCCAACCTGCTGTGTTAACACACTGGGAGGTGACTGAACTTGCCCCTAGAATCCTGCCTATGGACAGGGCAGAAGCCAGGCAAACATACTGTGAGCCCAAGCCTGAAGTCAGAGCCACAAGGGCCCTCTGTTCCAGTAGAAAAGAAGAACCCTGCATGAAGAAGAGTTAGAAGAACTGCTTCTTCCCCCAGGCTGTGCAGCTAAGCTCTCCTGTGATCCAAGGAGGTTATGGCCTCTCTTCTGCTCACATACCTGCAAACTGTGGATATTCACAGCCTACCTACTCACTGGACTGTTTATAGTGAGAAAAAAGTAAGACATAAAAATACAAACCAAAGCTCTGTACACATATAGGTAGATTAATTGTTGGCAAAGGAATCATGTTGAAGCCTATCAGTTCTCTGGATCCTGCTTAAACAGAGATGTAGACCTCTGACCCAAGTGAAATGTATAGCAACCCTTCAGAGGTCTATTTACCATACATTACAGTATCTGAAAGATTTTCACGCTCTGACCCTCAGAAGGATTCTGTGGTCAGTCCATTTCCAATAATATTGGTTTTAAAAGAGTATAAGTTAAAGTTCAGGGAATTGTCTGACAGGAGTAATGATTAAAATATGATAGTCATCTGACCTTACAAGTTACAAGACTGTAGTTTGTGGACTGGATAGTCTCACAGAATTGAATGTGGACTGGGTTTCAGATTTTGGCAAACAAGGTTCACCCTAATATTTTTTCTCAAATTCATTGCTATGTTAGGTGTCTCCTTAGGAGTCCATGAGGAAACCATCTTTCCATCCAAAGCAAAAGTATGATAACCATTACAAGGATCTAATTATTTTTCAGTGATAGGGATTGAACCTAGGGAGCACTTTACCACTGAGCTACATCCCTTGTCCAATTTATTTTTTATTTTGATACAGGGTTTTGCTAAGTTGCTAAGGCTGATCTTGAACTTGTAATCTTCCTGCCTCAATCTCCTGAGTTGCTGTGCTTATAGGCATGTACCCAGCAGGGGTGCAATTTTTTTAAAAGTCAAAAAGTCCTATCTTTTTCCATGTTGATAAGTTTTATTACATTTAAAGGCAACATGTGAAAACTTACTAATACCTTGTTATGGTAGAGAAAACAATGTAAGGTAGGCGATGTTCCCAAAGATGGCCACCACAATCTCTCCTTTGTCACAAAGTAGAATAGTTTTCCTCCCTTTGAAGCTGGGCTGTCCTAGCATCTGCTTTGACTAACAGAATGTGGTAGAAATAATGTTCTGGTACTTTCATGCCTGGACATTAAGAAAAACTGACAGCTTCTGCTTTATATTCTAGCAAAAGCCAGCCACTATGGAAGGAGACAACATCAGGCCGTGAAGAAGCCCAAGCTAACCATGTGGAGAGGCCACATGGTAAGAGAGACAGCCCATAGCTGTCCACCCATCTTAGCTGAGGTGCCAGTCAGGAGTGAAGAAGCCCTCTAGGGAGTTCAGAGTTAACAGATACCGCATGAAACAAGTGAGGTAAGGCATCCCCACTGAGCCCTGCCAAAATGTCAGATATTGAGTAAACATTGTGTTAAGGCACTAAATGTTGGAAGATTTTTAAATTTTGTTTTGTTTGTTGTTTGTAGTGCTAGGGATTGAACTCAGGGCTTCCTGCATGCTAAGCAAGAACTGTACTAGTGAGCTACATCTCCAGCCCTTAGAGTATTTTTTAAAGCAGCAATAGATAACCAGAATACAAAGCTAAAATATTAGATAGGCCCATCACTGGTCTTTCATTTCTAAACTCCACACAGGGATAGCTTTTGTGATTTAAAAAACAATGTATTGGGGGCTGGGGATGTGGCTCAAGCGGTAGCACGCTCGCCTGGCATGCGTGTGGCCCAGGTTCGATCCTCAGCACCACATACAAAACAAAGATGTTGTATCCGCCGATAACTAAAAAATAAATATTAAAATTATCTCTCTCTCTCTCTCTTTCCTCTTTCTCTCTCTCTTTAAAAAAAAAATAAAATAAAAAACAATGTATTGTGTTGGGGATGTAGCTCAGAAGTGAAGTGCCTGATTAGTATGCATGAGAGGCCCTGGGTTCGATCCCCAGTGATCCCCAGCACTGCAAAAATCTTATCTCAGGAGTCATTTGCTTTCTGTTTACTCTCTTGCTGATTTATAATCTTGCCACCTGGTACTTGTTTATCCCAGTGATGTACCAAGGGATGGGTGGAGGGAGGAAGCTTAGGAGAAGTCTGCCTTGTGAGGGAGGAATACTTTATCACTGACACTGTTTGGAACTATTGGGGCATGATGATATTACAAAGCAGATTGACTTTTAGTCAGTTCTATTATTGTTTTAAAATTCTCTACAGACAAAAAATAAAATAAAACATTTCACTGCCAGTTGCCTGCACCTAGGGTGAATCCCTCTGTCTGTCTCCCTCCATGGTAGGCCACTCGTTTACATACATACATGCAGTGAGACTCAGGAGTAATGTCATCTCCTCAGCAGAGAGCTCAGTGAACACAACCAAACTGACAGATCAGAGGACTGCAAACCAGCCTCTCATCTGTTAGCTGACAAAGACCTAGCCAGTTCTTTGCCTGGGCAGATCCAGTCACTCTAACCATCCTTTAATTCATAGGATAATATTTAGAGTGTTGCTATAGTACCCAGTTCCAGGCTGACCCCCTGCTGTGGTGTGCCCCTTTCCCCATCTGTCAGAGTACCCTTGAGTTCAATACACTCTCTTATCTACCCAAACAAAAGGGATTCAACCTCAAGTTTTGTTGGAAGGATCACAGGGCAGGACCACATTTATGCCAACATCCAGATACAATGCAACTAATGCTCCTGCCTCCTGTCCACGAACGCAGACTGTGACCATCATCCTGCCAGTTGCACCCAGGCTGCTAAAGACTGTTGTTTCCCACCACGCCACAGGAGAACCCCATACAAGACAAACTTGTGGCACAAAGCAGCAAGTTATCCAGTCTGTGCTGTGGAAAATCCCAAAGTGAAGTCTACTTAGGTCATTTTCAATCTATCCATCAATAAATCAGGTCTATTGGGCTTCGAGTATGTACTCAGCATATTGCCAAGTGTCTGGAAAGACAGTAAAAACATTTTTATTTATCTCTTTTAATACCAGGATTTGAACCCAGGGGCCCTTACCTACTAAATCACATCCCCAGACTTTTTTTTTTTTAATTTAAATTTTTTTTTTTTTTTTAGTTGTCAATGGACCTTTATTTATTTATATGCGGTACTGAGAATCAAACCCAGGGTCTATCACACACACTAGGCAAGTGTGCTACTACTGAGTCACAAGCCCAGCCCACATTCCCAGCCTTTTTTTGTATTTTATTCGGAAACAGGGTGTCGCTGAGTTGCTTAGGGCCTTGCTAAGTTGCTGAACCTGGCTTTGAACTTGCTATCCTCCTGCCTCAGCCTCCTGAGCCACTGGGATTACAGGCATGTGCCACCACACCTGGCTAGAAAAAACATTTTTTAAAAATTGCATTTTAATCACTTAGAATTCCAGTGAAATCTGTTGTCCAGTGAAATCTGTCTGGACCAGAAAGCATGGAAGAGAAAGAAGCAAGAGATTCAGTGAGCTCTACTTTTTGGAATAAAAACAGGATCATAAGTGTAACAGGTATTCGTAATCCTGCAACCTTTGTGACTTCTGTGTGTTAGTTTTTCCGTTTTTGTTTTTGGTGCTGGGGCCTTATACATGTTAAACATGTACAATATCACTGAGCTGGAATCCCAGTCCCATTAGATTTTTTTTTTAACCCCGTTTCCACATGGTGATTAGAAATAAAGCCTTTAAAATACAAAGGACCGGTGTGCTGGCAGAGAGACCAGAAAGGAGCAGGAGGTGTCCCCACATCATTCAGCAGCCAGTACAGGGGAGAAGAACCGTTTAGAACTGTGGGGGCATATGCTGGATTGTGGCTGGTCCATGTCAGTTCCCCAGGCCTGTGGTGCTTTCTCCAGTTTCTGTAAAGTCCTAAATTTAAAGGCTTTTTGGTTTCTGGATGAATGCATAGTTAAGAAGTAAATTATGTAGAATTATATTAAACTTATCCTTATAGAAGAATAGAAGTCAAGGTCATCCCTGAATGGATATATGCTATATGGTGTCCCTCCACACACTTTCCCAGTCCTAGGGAGGCTTGAAGGGACCCACTGTGTCGGGGTGGACCCCTGGAGCTGGGGCATTTGTTGGGGATTAACTAAAGTGTGTGAGCTAAGGTCTTTTCTAACTCTTGCTACCAAATCTACCTCTATACTCTCACTACTACTTCTGGACCTGTGCCCAACAGGCTGCGTGGGCCAGAGGTGGCCCAAGGTGGGGTCTGTAATCATGAACTGCT